GTCCCCAGTGTTTGCACTTTCTGGCGATCCTGACACATCTTGGATCTGCTGCCTGCAGATAGTCTTTACGCTTTCTCCTGTGTGAACCCTCTACGTCCGAGTTCGTCACCATTGACGGAAGTGGATTGGTTACCACTAGCCCTGGATGGTATTTATATGCGTTTGCTCCCCCCTGCTAATGGAGTCTTGAGAAGGATTAACTTCTTTGTTACCTTTCACTTGATGCTAATAGGCTGCATGTCTTTCATTGTAAGAGCTTTGATTGGGTATGTGTTGCGATGAGGACAAATGAGTTTTTGGGAGCTACCGTAATTATAAGTTTAGCTAGTCAGCTTTGATTGGGTATGTGTTGTAGAAGCTCACTGACGCAAGGGAAGATCCTGGTCGATCACACCGTTGCTCTCGCGAAGCATTTGGACCTTCGGCCTTCTATGTACCGTACAGCCGCCCCTCAAAAATCTTGGTGTATCTGTTTCATACAACTATGTTGCGAATAACCAGGATTGCCAGAGTTGGAACTCCATCTCTGTTCGGCCTAGGCTTGCGATGTACGTGTTTACCCGTCGCTGTATCAAACAGAATGAATCAAAGAACTAAACACATTTCCAATACCTACAGCGGCTCCAGCTAATGCGATTGTCGCACAGCCAGCTCCGATTGTCACATAGCCAGCTTCTTTTTGTTTGTAAGGGAATATGAATACCAGATACTTTAGATTTCATTCACCTAGTTGCATCTGGAGTCTCAGGTCCGCATCTTGACAGTTCATGGGTTTACCAACTTAGCTAGGAATCAGTGTTGAAAATGCGCTTGTACATGAAAAATGTGCTTCCAATTGGTTAAAAAACCTCCAATCCATTTATGATTTATATAACTTTGACATGTGTTAATCCGCGCCTAACAAGACGGAATTTTCCGATATAACGAACCTTAGCATGGCGTACTCTGTTTTTTATTCGTTTTAAATAGGTATGTGAAGAAACTTTAGGATGATTTTATTCTTGTTTCATTCAAGTATGTGTATTTATACTTACAAGAGAATATTTATCATTCATTCCTATCAAAATGATTTGACTGGTTCTTTTTTGGCTTTTGATCTTCCCCAAAAAAGAACCAGTCAAATTGTTGAATTCTTCCAATTCACTCTACAATTCAACTCTATGTAATTATAGAATTTAATTCTATATTCTTTAATTATTTATTTTCTATATTATATTAATCTTTGTTCTCGAACGCTATTGTGAACACTAGAAAACTGGAGGGTGCACGCACGAGCATGCTAGAGAAGACACGCTAGAACTGTAGCTGACACAATAGAAGGATGTACATCGTGTGAGGAAGGGATATGTTCTCCCTCCTTGGCACTTGGCAGCAGGTGTTGACCAGCATGCTGAGAAAACTACATGCAAGCGGTGCACTAGCCAGTGTAGAGATATGTTGGACATCAGTCAGTGGTAATTGATGCCATGTTGATCGATTTTTGATGTGCCAAAGAATGTCAGGGAGATGTATCAAGAAGTATGGAAGTCGTAATTGATGTAATGTTGTTACTGTATCTATTACTGTATCTATTTCCTGTGGGTGGATGAATGTTGAACTGTACCAAGTTTCTTATTGGGGGACATATTTTGGGGACGCGTGAAGTACGAGCGATCTTTATCAAACATGGATTGAGAAATCGAGCAACTGTTCTTTTGGAAAAATTAGTGATTCTGAGACTGTTGGCAAATGAACAAAATGGATGACTGATATACAATTTGATAGAAAGCTCGGGACTTTGAGAAAGAGTAGAAAAAGGGCGGGTGAAAGTATGTGTGTGTGTGTGTGTGTGTGTGTGTGTGTGTGTGTGAGAGAGAGAGNGAGAGAGAGAGAGAGAGAGAGAGAGAGAGAGAGAGAGAGAGAGAGAGAGAGAGAGAGAGAGAGAGAGAGCGTGGTCCAGGCATATATTCCCTTCAGGTTCGTAAGACCCCAAACCCTCCTTGTTATCGGGTGTTAGTGTTATGATTGTGTTGATGGGTGTTAACCACGGTTTACTGAACACCATGGCGTATGTCGGCAAGTTCTCATTTGTCGGGGGAGGTCATTGGAAGGAAAGTTGAAAAGCAGCAGAATCCTCTGAACCGTCACTTATTGAAGGTCCTCTGAACCGTCACATAGTCAGGTCAGGATATCTGGCTGCCTTTGGATGCAATGTGGAAAGCACAGCGAAACAGTCCCACTTACCGCAGCTCCTGCTTCCTTGCTTTTTTTCCAATGAAAGGGAAACTGTCTTGTCTGGAGATATCATCATTGAACTGATGGGCTCCAGGTAATTTAGAACTTGGGCATGCCCATTGCTGGGTAATGGTCTCAGTACTTCTTTTCGGGGTTGCTTGTTGAGAAATTCCCGGCCTGTGTTTGTGTGCATAATCAAATGAGCTGTCTTTCTGGTAAGTTCGGTTGTGGCCCAACCAAGTTCGGAAAGTGCAACAAAATCACACGCGGGCAACAAACTGGCGCGCCAAGTTTGAAAGGGCAACAAGCATGTTTACCTGGGCGCTGAGTTTGAAAAGGGCAACAAACTGGCGCACCGAGTTTGAATAGGGCAACAAAATCACATCCGGGCCACAGCCATTTTTACCGATATTGCCCGTTTCAAACTCCGCATCCGACGTTGTTGCCCACACGGTTTTTTTTGGCCCTTGGAAACCGAAAGTGTGACACTGCCTGACTTGTTTCAAAAAAAAAACTTGGGTTGTATTTCAGCAGCTGATGGGTGCACCAACTGAGCTAGGCCCTTCGGTTCCCGCTTCCCTGTGAGAGGTGGACTGCAGGGGGGTAGGATCCGTTCTATTTCCCAGGCACCTTGAAGCGCTCTCGAGCCTCGTGAGGTTTCTCCCCTCTCTCTCTCTCTCTCTCTCTCTGTCTGAAAACGGGAAACATTTAATTTTGATCCCCATAGGGAGTGCTCATTTTTTATGCTGTGCATTGGGACTTACCTCCGACTGCATATTTTACGCACCACATAGCCTGTCACAGTTTTCTTGGATGCGGCTGCATGTGCGCTGCGTTTCCCAGCCTTTTTTTCAGAGTCGAAGCAACGCGCAAGCCGCGTCTTTGGGTCCCTGAGGGGTGAGGGGGTGCCGACGGTTGGCTTTAATACAGTGAATACAAAGCTTCAAACCGTCTTAACCCATTTGTAGTAATTTTATACCCTCCAATCCCCTCCCATCACTGCTTTGAAAAAGGAGGCCGGACTTTGACTGCTGAGAACGAGTGGAGACCTGCTAAGCTAAGCAGTCGTCTTTTCGTTCTTTTTTTCCCCAATTCTCGCCCCATTTTGGACATGCCCATATTACCCGGAGGGATCCAGGGCGGTGTAGTAACCAAGTACTGAAATCTTTAGAGTGGTAGCTGTTGTCTGTATTGCTGTCCCATATGGACCATCATCATCAGCTGACCCTTGCCTAGGGGTGGTACCCCTCATCTGATGGCTGGCCGCCTCTGCTTATTTTTTTCGTTTACAGAGAAGAGCCAACTGCGTGGCGAATGAAAAGCAGTTATCAAATAAGCAGAAATAACAAGTGCCCGCAGAACACTCGCGCACCGAGTTCGACAAAACGAAAAAATCAGCACGGCACTTTGTAGACAGCACGGGTTTCATAACTACTTTCATGGGGCGTGGTCCGCGGATGGACCAGTTTAAAAACGGGAAAAACAGTTTACCTGCGGAGGGCCGCTATTTTGTACTATTTTCGCAGTTTCAAACTATTGTCTGCCTGAAGTTGCTGTCACCTGTTTTTCCTGCAGATTCGAATCTCAAACCATGACCTGAACTTGGGTGTTTCTTAGGGATAAAAACAAGAAATTTCCTTGTACATTCCCTTCCTGACGTTACTGCCACGGGTCTGTGGTGCTGACTGCATGGGACATATTTGGATGCTTATCTTGTGTATGCTTGCTGTTAATTGGTTTTTGTCACTTGCAGACTGCAGTGGGGCTCCGACGAGTTGCTGCAACATGTTGTAGCAGAGGCTTGGGGTCTTCTTCGCAATGGAGATTCATGAGCGGTGGTGTGGCCATGAGCAGATTTGAGCCGGACCAGCAGATCAACTATGAGCGCATCGAGGACAATCTGAAAGTAAGTAACACAGTTTGTGTGTTGTCAAATTAAAAGTTTTCACCTCAACCATAATATGGCCTGATAGTAAACAATTGCTTGTCATATTGGATGTCGCTCGGGCGACATATGGACTACTGAGCAGTACTTACCGCAGCAATTGGCTGGGAAATAGTACCCTGACCAGGTGGGATGGATGAGGAGGGATCATGTGCCCTGCAGGGGGGTCTTAAGTGATGATGTTCTCTGGGTGAGTGGGGGTGATCACATCTAAATTGGAATTAATCGCTGGAGTAAAACGATTGCAGCAAGCAGGGATCAAAGCAGAAAGAGGGGCACAGAGAGACCATACCATACTTGCAAGCGCACGTCGTGCGGGCGGTTCCCTACATGCGGCGCACGCGCGCAACCGATCCCGTGCGGCGCACGACGTGTGCGGGGAACGACCCGTCACTCCCCTCAGAAAAAAAAAGGAGGCCGGGGCCGAAATGGTGCGTTTGAGCCCCCCCGCCAAATTATAAGCGATATGAAAAAAAAATTACAGGAGTACTGCCTCACCTTGCTCTTCCTCATCCTCGATGTCTCCTCCTCCCTTCTCTTTTTCGTCTCCTCCTTTTTGTCTCCTCTGGCTCCTCCTCCTCCTGTTCGTCCTCCTCCCGCCCTTCCTCATCCCCCTTGTCTCCTCTCGTACTTCCTCATCTTCCATGCCTCCTCGTCTCCTTCCCTTCCTCGTGTCCTCCCCTTCCTCGCCGTCCATGTCTCCTCCTCCTCCCACTCGTCCTCCTCCTCCTGCCCTTCCTCTCTTCCCTCTGTCCATCTCTTCTCTTCACCAATCTTGACTCCTCCTCCTCGTCCTTGCTATCCTCGTCGTCCTCGTCGTCCACATCCTCCTCTCCATATCCCCCCCTTCTCGCCATATCCCCATCTTCCTGTCATATGCCCTCCTGTTCCCCCTCCCAAAAAAGATAAAATAATAATAATAGAAACTAGGCTGGTCCCCGGGCCGCCCGGCGGCCTGGCCGTCGCCCGGGGGGGGGTGCCGGGCCACCTGTCCGGTTGTCGCGCCCAGTTGGCCACTGGGCAGCCCCAGCGCATCACTGTAGGGTAGTTTTTTTTTTTTTTTTTGGCACTGGGGCCCTTTTTGCCCCCTTCATAGACCGTGTGGACCGCAAAAAAAAAAGAAAACGGGGCTGGTAGGCCCGATTTCACCGATTTGAAATCGGGCCCCATCTGGATCGTCGATCTCGAAGATCGACGGCCGAGATTGCACCAATTTCAAACCGGTGGGAGCGGGAACTACCGGCCCCCGTCCCCTCCCCCGTGCTGAAGATGTGCCCCTACGTCCCCCCTTCCCTGCCTTGCACCACTGTGTGTCCGCCGGCACGACGCGCAACTTCAACGCAATTCTTCGACGCACCCCGCCAGCACCTGCCAACGCCTGCCATCGCACGTGACCCCGCCGTCGCCCCCCAACGGCAGCCTCAACAAGGTAAGGGACTTAGTTTTTTTTTGGGGGGGGGGGG